GCAAATTCCATCTGCTAGAACGGATATTGCAATTACGTGGGGAGCTTTAAGGTGTGTGAGTTTCAATCGATATGACGAACGGATATTTTTTTTTTCAATCAAATTACGTTGGTTTTAAAGTACTGATGGTTGGCTATGTAAATTGAGTTAAGCGTTGATTATGATCATCTTGTGGCTGGCTATCTTAGACATATTAAATGGAACGAATATCTATGGGACAAATATGTAGTTTTTCCAAAACTCTATAACTAAATAGTATATGCATAATGGTTTAATATCTATGGATAACATTCTAAAAGTAGAAAACCGAAATTAAATAATATGGAAATTTGAACAAGAAAACAAAAATCAGAATTGAAAGCTTGTTTCAGCCTAAATAATAATATGAATAACCTTGCAAAAAGAAAAGTAGAATGTATGTTATTTTGGCTTGTTTTCCGACATTCGAATGTAACATTTTAGTTTTCTAGCTTCAATTTTTTATTGTTTGATTTAGGTTTATTTGGAAGCAAGAGAACGAAAACAGGGAAGTTAATGAGGTTGAGATTACAGTGTTTGATTACTTCACTGAAAAACTTAAACTAGAATTGGATTATTCAGGTTGTTTACCTTGCATGCATCAATGTTTTGTTTTCACATATTTTTATGTTTAATGGCTTATGATGATAATTACTTGAAATGGTTTTGTAACATTTGTTGCACTGTGAACTTGTTTCTCTACAACGCTAAACCAAAGCTCTTACTACTTTTTTCAGAGGACTATACTAGTCAAAGAATCAAGACAAAAGCCACAAGAAAGAATGAATGTGTTATCTAGAGTAAGTTTTTTTAAGTCTTATATATTATCTTGTAGGCTCTGACGAATAGTAATTATTACAATGACCCGATGCTGCAAGAATGCGGTGTAAGAATTGAAAGTAATAAAGAAACTTTGAAGATGAAAGAAAATCTCTTTAATGATTAATTTCTCTTAAACCTTACAATCGATCCTCCTCATTTCCAGAAGTGATGAATCAACTTCATTTCCAGAAGTGATGTTGAAACTTGAAACCAACTTCATCTTGAATGAAATCAAACCTTTAGTATAAAGGTATGAGTGATGATACTCATCTCAGACATTTTCAAAAATTAAAACTTAGTGATAAGTGATAAACTGATAATAAGAAATTGTGAATGATTAATTCATTATGAATCTCGAGTCAAACTAGAGTTATACCATCGTCTTCGTTATTAGGGTTAAGAGAGGCATCTTACAGTAATTGACTCCATAATTTTTCTGTCTCGGCCTTATCCTCATCGTCTTGCTTACAAACTTGTTTTAGATGCAATTTTACTATTTTGTATTAAAAAAAAAATGCGATTAATGGTTTCGAACAATTTGTCCACCCACTCTAACTTGTCACCTAATTAAGGTAATATCAACATGGAAGAGTTACTTGAGCAAACCAAATTTATTGATTAACTAGTAACCAATCAGCCATTTGCTTATTTTTTATGGCATTATGGTCAAAATGCTATTAGTGAGGCCGAGGACAATAACTCACTAATTGCATCCGAAATCCTATGTTTTGCTCTGTCCAGCTGCATTGTTGCTCAAGTAATTTTTAAGAATGTTACAAATTTTTCTACACTTTTAAAAACAAAATCTTCTCATGAGTGAATTTGCAAACTTGAGATAACAGGAGAATGATTCCAGTTCCATGAGTTAAGCTTTCAAACTTTTGAGTACAAACACAATTACACAAGCAATTCGAAACAAAGATTTGGATTCAGTTTTGAGATTACGATTAAGTTCCCACGCTACATTGTAAGCTAGAGAAGACAAGACAAAGCACGGATCCACAAACACTCATTGCTTACGTTGCTTTTATAAGAGGATTCGTGTGTATTCTTGAGCAACATCTTGTGAATTCCCAGAACCTGAAACATCTGCAAAATCCTCTGACATGTTACATTTAGCATTGCCAAATCCGAAAGAACACTAGCAAAGCAACACAAGTGAGTAGGACATACCGTAGAGGAACAAGATCAGGACCTCATCACAAGAAACACCACACCAAACTCTAAGACAGCATATCCGAAAAGCTCTTGTCCAATTTACCATCAGATATCATATCAGCTACCATTTCCGCAGTGGATGCATCTCCACAGAACCCGCTGCTTCGCATTTCCTTGATAAATTCAGCTGATGCAGCAATTTCACCAGCTTTAAGACATCCTCTAATTAGTGTATTGTATGTGCAGTTATCTGGAACATGTCCACTGTCATTCATTTTCTGGAATAGTTCATTTGCCYCAGAAACTGCACCTTTCCCACAAAACCCAGATATCATTATAGTGTAAGTTTGAACACTAGGCTCAACACCATCGATGGGGAGACTACAAAATAACTTCCATGCTTCGTCCACCTTGTTACCCTTGCACAATCCATGGATGATGATGTTGTAAATCGCAATATCCAAATCCATCTTACTCTTCTGCATTACCTCAAACATTTCCAATGCCGTTTCCAGTCTCCCATTCTTGCAGAGACCGTCCAGCAAAATGCTATAAGTTACGATATTACGGCACACGCCATGAGCAATCATCTCCTGGAAAAGGTCTTCAGCGGCACTAAGATCACCCACTTGACAAAAGCCCTGAATAAGAGTACTGTAAGAAACTGTATCGGCAACCAATCCTCTCCGAGCCATCTCATGGAGAAGTTTCATCCCATCATCAACCCTCTTAGCCTTGGAGTAGCCATCAATAAGCGTAGTATAAGTGACTACGTCTGGAGAGCAGCCCTTGCTAACCATTGAATCAAACATGCGCTTCGCATCATCTAGACGATCATGCTTGCAAAATCCATTAATCATTGAGTTATAGGTGATCGTATCAGGAAATATAYCMCTACGGAGCATCTGTTTGTAGAATTCTTCAGCATCAAAGAACATCCCTTCTTTGACAAATGCATTGATCAATGCGTTGAAAGTTACAACATTGGGATTTATTTCCATTTTAATCATATCACGCAGCAATCCCACGGCATCACTCCATCTACCAGAGCTGCAATAACCGTCTATCATACAGTTATAGGTAAACACATTTGGCACAATTCCTATCTCGTCCATTTCACGGAAAAGATTTTGAGCATCGGTATGATGTCCGTCTTTGCAAAGACGATCAATGATGGCACTATAGATTACAACATCAGGTTTSATGTGGCTGTCGTCCATCTTCCTAAGCAGATTCAAGGCCGAGACAGTGTCGCCCATCTTACACATGCCATTTACAATAGTTCCATAAGTAACAGCATCAGGTTCATGACCATTTTCCACCATCTTATCGACCAAAGCTAGTGCCTCGTTCACTCGACCTTCTAGACAGAGACCRTTYATCARYGTGKTRAATGTTATGACATTTGGTRCACAWCCCATTTCAAGCATCCGAACAAACAGAGCTGCTGCTTCGGGAACTCGACCCTCGCGGCAAAGACCATTCATCAGTGTGTTGACTGTTATGACATTTGGTGTGCATCCTGTTTCAATCATTTGATCAAATAAAGCTAGCGCTTCAGAGATCCTATCTTCCAGACAGAACCAGTGGAGCAGTGAGTTATATGTAACAACATCGGGCACGAAACCAAGTTTGGTGATCTTCCCAAATGTGGACAGAGCAAAGGGAAGCTTAGAGCAACTGCAGAAACACTTAATCAGAATGTTGAAGCTGTAGATGTTACATGRAATCYGSCGCMTTTCCAWCTTYTGATASAGAGAAATCACAAGATCTGGTCGATTCATTYTCAMGAMSACACCCATCAATTTACAGAAATCAATCACTAAAGGTAAGGGACGAGAGTAAACCATATCGTCGAACAAAGCAATCGCATCATCTAAGCTATTGATGTAATGAAACCCACTTCTCAATTTCAATTCCTCTCCTTCAAAAGCTACTTCGCTC